AAGAGCAGAAATCATTTTACGCAGTTTAACCCCTGATATTTTAATTAGTTTTGAGTTCACGCGTGTTTGTCGGCGGTAAAATCCTAATTCAAATGTCGATTTTATTATTTCTGGTTTTTTGTCACATTATAAGCAATACATTATTTTTGTTCTACTTCTAGTTTTGCATATTGTTCATTTATTTCCGTTGCATGTTTTCATTTGCCGTTCTATTCCCTGCCGCAGTTCGATCGAACTGCGTGTTGCCAATTTTCGTGAATTTTTGTTTTTTTTGCCGGGGATCTCCTGGCAAACGCCCACCCCTTCTTTTTGGCAATTTTCCATGTTCAAGACCCTGGGCTTATACCCGGATAAATACGGTAAATGCTATCCCTATCTCTACTTTACAATTTTGTAATTATTATTCGATACATTACACCCAAAACACTTCTGATAATTAATGTGTCATAGTGTTTTGTTATAATCACAATTTATGAAATTTGTCAAGGATAATAATAATAACTGCATTCCTTATCTGTAATCTAACCTGTGTTACACCTATTCCTTAGTGACTATTTTTGGTATGGGAAAATATACACCATTCTTCCAGAATCTATTTCCTGAGTTATTGCAAGTACATCTTCAATAGAAGCACATACATTTATAATCCAAAAATTGTTTTGGCAGTTTAACTAAACCTTTGAAATATTACTTATTTTGAGTGCATGCCCTACTAATAGAGAAAATATGGTAAATACATTCTATTCCCAGTTTTCAAATAATTTCACTATATGAACATTGAGAAATTCAGTTCACAATTATATGGCTTCCAACATACATACAAACATTTGACATTTTTGACAAGTTTGTATTCATGTACATGATTAATACAGCTTATTTAATTAATATCTTATACTGTAAATTACTTTATTTTCGCGCATAGCCATAAAATGACTGTTTCACACAAAGCAGTTCGAAGATTTCCGGGGTACCGGAGTAACTCCCATTCATGCCTGAAATAAAGTTTTTTTGTTCGATTTGTCCCGTCGCGAGCGTGCGCCCTGTACTATAGTTTACATTCAATGAAACTGTGAATGTTTGACTATTGTTTCTAAATAAAGTGATAAAAAACATATGCGGTAAGTCTGTCTTGGTGCAATTTTTTACTGAGCAGGTGTTACTCGTTAACAGGTAGAAGATGATGATAAACCCGTTGATTTCCAGTAAAACCAAGCTGTGAAGTCTAACAGCTTGCCGATAAGATCAAACGAGTTTAGTCCATTTAAGCAGCAATATATTTCGTTCAAATGTCATTCTGATCCTGTGTTCAACAAACGTCATGTCTCTAGTTCGCTGGTTAAAGAAAGTTAGTTCACCTCGTACTCCTGGTCTGCCTTATCCAAATCTCTGTACAACAGAAGAAGATGCCACGTCAACTCAAGCTGCCAATGATCAAATCAATCAACCTAACCCCTCGAAAAAGAAAACAAGGCCAGTACAGTTTCTACAACGGTGAAACTTGAGCTAAAATAGTGAAATCTTCAATCGAAATTGGCGTAAGAAGACATCGAGGAAATTCAGCAAAGCATTGAAGATAAACTTGAACGAAAGCACAGTTCGAAGCATTAAATCAAACTTCCTGAAACTGCAGGCTGTTGCCAACCACGCAGATCAAGTTTCAACTTTGCCTAAAGGTCAGAGAGGTCAACCCCTGTTGCTCTTGACACATGGGTACAGAAAATGGATACGCGACGTGAGGTTAAATGGTGGGGTGATTAACAACAGAATCGTCATGGGTGCCTTTACTGGTATTGTAATGAAACTGGACTAAAGTAAACTGAAGCAGTTTGGAGGCCACATTGAAATCACCAGCTCATGGGCGAAATCATTACTCCAGCGCATGAACTTTGTGAGGCAGAAGGGCACAAAAGCATAAAAAAGTTGCCGATCGAATTTGAAGAAATAAGGGACGCATTCATTGGACGAGTAATTACTTTCTGAGAAGAGCATGAAATACCAGCAGAAATAAAATATAAACTGGGACCAAACTGGTGTTAGCATGCTACCAGGAGGAGAATGGACTCTCAAAGAAAGAGGAAACAAGCAGATTACGATTTCCGGTCTTGATGACAAACGACAAATCACGTCAGTGCTCGCTGTCTCAATGACGGGAAATTTGTTGGATCCACAAATTATTTATGCTGGAAAAACCAATCGATCCATCCCAATGTGAACTTCCCAGATGGATGGCTCGTGGATCACACAATGTCCCATTGGAGTACTGAAGAATCAATGCTGTGTTATGTCAAGAAAATTATTGTACCCTACGTCATAGACCAACGCGTGAAACTTGGGTTGCCGCTAGACCACAAAATACTTGCCTTGTTTGGTGTATTCAAAGCTCATAGTGGGGAAAAGCTTGTCAGTCTTTTAGCAGAAAATAATATCAAGGGGGTATTTATTCCAGCAGCTTGTACAGACATATTACACCTGCTAGATTTATCCGTAAATAAAGATTACAAAGAAGTCTTGAAATCATGTTTCAACTCCTAGTATGCCGAGAAGGTCATGGAAAGTATGAATGAAAACCAAGACACCAACAACGGTGTTCATATAGATACACGCTAAAACTGATCCATGCTCAGTGGCTTATCAAAACACAAACGCACTGAGGTGATCAAAGGTGGATTTGTGCATGTGTTGTTTTTTTGTATTGGACATTTACCATTTGTATTTTACCGTCGCCTCACCTAGCATTTGACATATTTAAAACGTCATGATGCATTTATTTATTTACTCGACATCACTTTTATTTATTGTGTATATACAATGTATATATTTAGTGCAATTGTAAATAAAGGCAATACTAATAGTGAATAAGTGTTCTCATGTTTAAGTTTATGCCGTAGTGTTTCAGACCATGCGTTTTGTTTGTATGCGTGAGCTCATTAATATTCATGTTAATGGTTAACTAAACTGTGTTACAGAGTTCTAAGGTCCTCATTGTATTTCTAGTTACAATGTACATGTTTTGATGACATTAAAATTGAGGGCAGTTGTGATGATTTGTTTTCTCAACATTATCCTATCATGTTTCTTTATTTCATCTGGTACAGTTCAAATAAACCAGGATGTAACTGATTAATCTCACAATGGTCAGTTGCCATGTCAACTCAAAATTTTTATTGTATTTTTGGATCAGGTCAACATAAGAATAGGAAGGTTAATAAATTATTCTATGTTTTATCACTTTAGCTACTTTTTCTTATTGAACCCGACGCAATGCAACCGACACAATGCTAAAACATAATATAGTGCATAGATATTTTGCATATTTAACAGTATTTGTCACAAACATAGGACATTGTGTTGACACTCTCTTTTAATAGCCTTACTGAAAGAGAATTTCCAATACAGAGATATGTCCCTTTAATGGCCATACAAGTGGACATGCCCAATACTGAAATGTGACTGTCCCTTTAATAGCTATAATTGTAGGCATGCCCAATACAGAGATTTGACTGTCCCTTTAATAGCTATAATTGTAGGCATGCCCAATACTGAAATGTGACTGCCCCTTTAATAGTCATAATTGTAGGCATGCCCAATACAGAGATTTGACTGTCCCTTTAATAGTCATAATTGTAGGCATGCCCAATACAGAGATTTGACTGTCCCTTTAATAGTCATAATTGTAGGCATGCCCAATACAGAGATGTGACTGTCCCTTTAATAGTCATAATTGTAGGCATGCCCAATACAGAGATTTGACTGTCCCTTTAATAGCTATAATTGTAGGCATGCCCAATACAGAGATGTGACTGTCTCTTTAATAGCTATAATTGTAAGCATGCCCAATACAGAGATTTGACTGTCCCTTTAATAGCTATAATTGTAGGCATGCCCAATACTGAAATGTAACTGCCCCTTTAATAGTCATAATTGTAGGCATGCCCAATACAGAGATTTGACTGTCCCTTTAATAGCTATAATTGTAGGCATGCCCAATACTGAAATGTAACTGCCCCTTTAATAGTCATAATTGTAGGCATGCCCAATACAGAGATTTGACTGTCCCTTTAATAGCTATAATTGTAGGCATGCCCAATACAGAGATTTGACTGTCCCTTTAATAGTAATAATTGTAGGCATGCTCAATACAGAGATTTGACTGTCCCTTTGATATCTCTAATTATAAGCATGCCCAATACAGAGATTTGACTGTCCCTTTAATAGTCATAATTGTTGGCATGCCCAATACAGAGATGTGACTGTCCCTTTGATAGCTATAATTGTAGGCATGCCCAATACAGAGATGTGACTGTCCCTTTAATAGCTATAATTGTAGGCATGCCCAATACAGAGATGTGACTGTCCCTTTAATAGCTATAATTGTAGGCATGCCCAATACAGAGATGTGACTGTCCCTTTAATAGCTATAATTGTAGGCATGCCCAATACAGATATGTGACTGTCCCTTTTAATAGCTATAATAGTAGGCATGCCCAATACAGAGATGTGACTGCCCCTCTAATGGCAATAATAGTGGTCAAAGACTGAGCATTGTCAAAGCTTATATTTTTACGAGTCCTCAACCATTGCTTAGGATGTACTTTGACTGATTTTGTTCAATGTAGGTACAAAGACAATTCATAATGGTATTTATATGTCCATTTGTTTCCACATGCCACCAATTATTTCTTTGGTGTGTCTGGTCTTTTTCATTCAAACATGGTGTTATCTGTACTCATGGTGGGCTATTGATGCACATCAGAACTGCAGAAATGCTAGGTGTAATAGTGTGAATATTTGTTGTGATCACATTCAATATCTATGTAGGTTTCTCTGCTAATATTTTAATGCATTTCATTCGCAACCAGTCCTACATGTGAACTGGGCAAATTCCATATGAATTGAAACTTACTGTTCCAGTGATACAATACAATAAAACATAATTTTATCCATTTTAATTTATTCATAATACCTAAAACCATGCATTTCTTTTTCAAAAACTGTGACGTTTATTTCTTGTTTCATTATTCTGTGGCACATATATATATCATATGGTTTGTAATATCTTGTATTTTGTAGGAACAGCTTGGGAGGCCACGTACCATGAGCCAAGGTGCAGAAGATGTTAATGATGCCTTTGTAGTTAAGCAACGAATCCGTGGAACTCTTTCAGTTGGTACATTACCAAGGTACCAAGGTACTATAGGTAAGAAAGCATGGATAAGAAGCAGTAATCTGCATGAAAACATTTAATTTGATATATATTGGTCTTGTGTTGATATTTTCTGTTCACTGGCTACAAATTTATAAGTTCCAATTTACATCAAAGATAGCGCAAGTCAATGTCAGGCCACCTTCGCATGTACAAAAAAGATCCAGTTAAAAAAAACTTAAACGAAGTCGCGAGTAAATATTGCACCACCTCACCCCCACCCCATAACAGTTACACAGGCCCCCTCTTTCCCTCACCTCAATATTTTTTTCATTGAAAAGCATTTATAGTTATATAATCTAATAATAATGATGTTATTATCTACTGAAGTTGCTGGTTGAATGTCTGTGATAAACTTGCAAAGTCTATATATTTGAAACCACATATGATCTTGGCAGCCTG